CCTGGAATGTTTTGATTACACCATCGTATTTGATTGACAGCTTTGCTGGGTAGAGGATTCTTGGGTGGCAGTTTTTTTCTTTCAGAGTTTTATATATGTCTCCTCATTGCCTTCTTGCCTGCATGGTTTCTGTTGAGAAATTCAAGCTTAATCTGATTTGCTTGCCTTTATATATTATATTTCTCTTTTCGCTAGCTGCTTTCAAGATCCTGTCCTTATGTTTGATTTTTTGGAGAGCTAGATTATTATATGTCTTGGTGATTGTCTTTTAGGGTCTATCCATCCTGGGGTTCATTGAGCTTCTTGAATGCTTATGTTTTCACTTTTCAGGATGTTAGGAAAATGTTTTTTTTTCCAGAAGCTCTTCAACTATCTCTTCTGTGGACTTGTGTGATTCTTCCTGTTCTGGAATGCCAACAATTCTTCAGTTATACCTCTTCATGTTGTCCAGCATGAATCTTAGGCCTTCTTCAGATTTTTTTAATTCTTCTTTGTCCTTGCTTTTCTATCTTAGTAGTATTGAGAGATTTATCTTCTAGCTCACTAATTCTGGCTTCTATCTCTTCAATTCTACTCCTTTACCCTTTCAGTGTATTGTCCATTTCTGATAATCTATTAATCGTTTGGACCTCTTTCTGTAGGTTTTCAATTGTTTCCAATGCTGTATCTATCTTATTTGATTGTTCCTGTAAAGCTTTCCTGACTTCTTCCTTATTTTTCTCATCTCCATTGTATAGTATTTTATAATCATTTTTCTGAATTCCTTCTCAGGCATTTCCAAAACCTGCCCATCTTCCATCATGGAGTGTAGGTCTACTTCCAGCTCATTTGCCTCAGTCACTTTATCTGTTTCTGGACATGTGCAGACATGGTCATTTGCTTCTGTTTTTTGGTCATATTCAGGGGTTATCTGTGGCCTTAATACTTAGATGGGTGTGTATTTTATTATCTTTTATGCTTTCTGGTTGCCTCCAGGTAGATGTGATCAGGAAGTGGGCTTCCCTTTTCACTCTTCTTTTTGAGAAATTTCAAGATGCCACTGTTGGTCGTTTTGATGTAACTTAGGATTTAATTTTCAGCCTATTTCCTTTTTTGTCTGCCTGTCCTGCTCCACAATTCCCATTCAGGCCCTTTTTCTAGTTATAAACAGTTCAGGGCCGTCTGTGGCCGTTTGGCTTTAAATGGAAACTGTCTCTTTAAATTTCGAAGAGATCTGTGTGCGTAGTAGAACCCTCCGAGGGTGGGGCTGAGGTGTCCACTAGTTCAGGTACCCCTCTAGTCACCAGAATGGAGATGTGTAGGCAGCAAGGGACCAATGAACAGATACCAAAAGAAAATAATGTCCACACCTTTATCTCTGTGGTTCTGTCAGGCATCTGTGGCTGCTCTGATCCTTCCCCCATTTGGTCTCACCCAAGATGGTGGATCCTGGAGCAGCTGAGCATCTTGAATTAGAAAGCAATG